TATATATATATATATATATATATATATATATATATAGTAGCTCATTGTATATATATATAAAATGTAGCTCAGTGGAAAGACCTTGGAGTCAATCCCCAAACCACAAGCTAGCAAGAAAGGAAAGAAGGGAGGAGTAGAACCCCTACCCCTATCCCAGTCTTCACAAAGGTAGAGAGATGGAAATCCTGTGGCCTTGTTCAGGAAATATGCCTCTGGGAACATCCAGTTGGTGATATAGAGGTAGAAAGAATGGAAACACCTCCTTGCCACCATTCTACACATGTATGTACACACACACACACACACACACACACACACACACACACACACAATGCAATAAGCAGCTGCTCCAAGGATGGCTGGAGCAGGACCCAGAGGACACTGAAGGCAGAACCCTGGCCTGTCTTTCTCCTTGAACACCATGCCTCACTGTGTTGGATTGACAACTGGTGGTCAACTTGTAACACCTAGCTGAACTGAACCAGCGTGGTGCTGAGTGTGGGAGGCCCACCTGAGGATTGTTGCCATCAGCATAAGAGGCAGAACTAGAGAAGAAGTGGAGAAGCTGTTGGGAAGATGTTCGGTGCTGTTAGAAGCTGTAGGAAGATGTTGGTTTTTCTGGAGGAGCTTATCATGCTGGCTTTCCAGATGAACTTAGCTGTTCTCATCAGAGGAGGAGCTCAGGACCTCGCTGTCACTGAGAATGGCTACAGTTCACTTTGGGGGAGCTCTGGTCCTCACTTTGAGCATCACTTCCTGGCTCTGGAGGGGAAGATGGTGCACTGCTCAGTCTCCTGGAGAAGCTTCTTGCTTTGGCTTTCCTGATGGGAACTCTGCTGTCATCATCAAGGAGCTCAGGACCACTGCTGAGGATGGCTGTGGTACTTATCAGGGGCGCTCTGGTTCTTACTTTGAGTGTCACTTCCTGGCTCCAGTTCAGATCCCTCAGCCTGCTAGCACAGATCCTTCATCCCGCTGGCACAGACTTCCTAGCTTCCACCACTGACCTTCCCAATGCAGATCCGTGAAACAGGCCTGCAAGAGACATTGTTGTGGGCTCTTGGCCTCCTGTTGGACTCATGGGAGGCATTGTTATGGGCTGTAGGCCTTCAGCTGGACTAACGCAAACACTATGGTGAGATTTAGGCCCTCAGCTGGATTCTTTGGTCTTTAGTGTGTGGACAGATTTCCCGCACTCTCTTTTTGTATATGATTCTTTGGGGGACTATTATAAATAATCTTATAAAATATGTGTCATATTTCCCTTTGCAAAACCCCAAACTACAACGTTCACCTTCCCCTCCAACACTAAACCCCAGGGCCTCACCCCTCTGTAGCAGACCTCTTTGTTTTTCCCTCAAATAGAGCAATCAGATGTGAGCACACCCAAGGTCCTGACCTCAAATGTTCAACCCTCTGCAGCATTTCCTCCCATCCCACCTCTGCCCAAGAGGCCCTTGCATTCCCATTCTTTCCTCTGGTTTTAGCTGAGGTCTTCCCTGGAGAAGGGGGTTTCCCAACCTTGCCAGTTTCAGTCCCCACTCTTCCCATGGGACACTTGTGGGAAGCTGGAACAGCGTTTCTGCATTAACTGTTGGGGACATGGGGCATCCCGGCAGCCTGCCCTGTCATCAAAGTCGCACTGGCCCTGGGATGGACTTCCATCTGTACCACTCTATATTTCTGATAGCATTTCTAGTGTCTCTAAGAAAGAGAATCTTGAACCGGGTGCTCTTTCTGGGTAGTATTTTCTTTGTTTCACTTGCTCCCAGCATCACAGTGAAGGGGACTCCGCAAGTGGTCAGAAGGATGCTAACGAATACCAGCTCATGGACCTTTCTCTCTTTTCCTGGTTTTCTCAGAGCTTTTAATTCTTTTTAATCATTAATATAATAATAGCAATCATGTATTACTACAGGGAAGGATTGTTCCAAATGCATCACAAAAAACATATACAGAAGGCACTATTATTATCTTCATCTTGTTGAATAAAGAAGGAAACTGAAGCCTCTTAGAGCTGAGTCAGCTTGCTGAGAGCCACAAAGCTTCATAATGGAAGAGTCAGAGCTCAGAACTGGCAGTCTGCCTCCAGAGTCCGTGCTGTAACCTTCTCTACCGCTGCTGATCAGATGGTGAATTTTACTGAATCCTTCATGCTCATGTATTGGGGTGGTGGTTCAGCTTTTCTCTTTGAGTTTACCAGTGTGGTGGTTACTTTAATCACTGTACAGCACTGACCCAGTAAATCTACATTGCTCATGATGGATGAATATTTTCCCTCCTTGGAAAATCCTTAACAAATGCTTGTGAACTGAATCCAACATCTGTGTTAATAGGTTAAAGAACTTCCAGGAGAACATACTATCAGCAGCAGAAATGGTCTTCCAATCTTACATTCATGCTTAGATTCCATGTACTGGACTGGCAAAGGCTTTATGTGGAGATGCTGTGATGCTACTTTTGTCTCTGTATTCCAGCCCAGTTAAGGAAGAATGCAAGCCCACTCCAAGGGCATACACCTACTTGCCCGAAGAGATTTATTTTAAGGTCTCTGCTGATTAAGCCCAAAGGAGACCATGCTTCCTACTGTCCCAGGCTCCTAGGGCCAGAACTCTGCATACATAGCTGTTGTTCCACAAGGTAAACACAAAGACCCATGTGCGCACATATGCCCCTGTAGATTCGCTCGCCATAGGAAAGTTTCCCTTTGGCATTTGACCAAAAGGCTGTGAGTTCTGTGAGCCAGGGTAATAGCAGAAGGAGCAAAGAGATGATTGTGAGGTGACATGCTAGAATTGGGAGCTGACATCCTAGGGCAGGGTGGGCTTGGCCTCCCCCAGGATCCCTCCTTTTCTTGGCCTCTGTAAACTCCAGAACATTTGCTGAGAGCCCTGGAGGTGTAGGGGCTACACCCTGAGGATGAAGGAAAGCAAGTGTTCCGGAGGTGGTGGCGGGTGTAAGAGATGTGCTTCTTGGTGGTGGGGTTTGGTGGTGGGGCTGCAGAAAAGGTGAGGAGTCCCTACAGAGCCTTAAGTGGGAGCCAAGTCCTCATGCACTTGTTGGTGTCTCTCAACCCCTGTGGCAGGGGCCCACAGAGTTCTCGAGCAGGATTCTCCCAGCCCAGACTGTTTCTGGCCCCGGGGAGGACAGGTACATGGCAGTCCTAGGCAACCAGCCCTGTGATTCCTAGACATGTAACACCTGAGGAAGCCTCCAGCCCTGCTGCTCCCAGGACTTCTGCAGGGCAGTGGCATTCAGAAGGCAGGAGACAGCTCTCTGTCACACTGAGCCTCTAACCTTTCTTAGCTTCCTGCCTTACAATCTGCTGTGCGGCCTGGGATGCAGGAAGGTCTGATGCTGACTCCATTTTTCCCTGTCAGAGCTCACCCAGCCTCACAACGGGAACCTGGTATGGGATCTCGCCCCCAACACACCAAGCCCAAGTTAATCTGCAAAGGATTGGCCTTTCTTAATCTGATGCTTTAATGAAGGCAAATACAGAGAGCAGCCCGCATGCACACGTCCTCCATGCCCTTGACGCCAGGTCTTTGGACCCTCTTCACTTTCCCTCCTTGTGGTCACTGTGGGCTCTGTTGTTCTCGCCTTTCCTCCAAGGGGCCCAGTAACAGGAGCCTGCCTCCCTCCCACAGATGGCTCTGTCCAGCTCTCCCGAAGTGCAGAAGAAAGAAATCCATGTGGCTAGGGCCTGGGAGTGTGCGGCCGTCCTGTGCAGTGGCTTAGCTTGGGTCACCTTGCCCACTCTTCTTCTTCTTCCCCAAGGATTCCATGTCCTCCAGGCAAAGCCACCCCAAAGGCCCCCTCACTGCTGTGTTCCTGGGCCTCTGGGCACAGTCTCCATCCTTTGGGGCTGGCTCCCCAACCTGGCATCAGTGTCAGGAGTGAGGCTGCAGAGATCTGTAATCCATTCGGAGGCCATGGGTCCAGGCAGGGCCATCCCAGGTAAGGCAGGACTAGGAGCTGGGTTCTGCAAGACATGGGACATTCCAGCTGGTCCAGAAAGGGCAGCTGGGGGTGGCTGTGCCTCCCATACCTGTCCCTTGGTGAAGGCAATACAGCTTGGGGTTAGACCGATAGGCTCTATGTCAGTGGGTCTAGGCTCAAATCCAGAGCCGCCACATGTTCCCTGAGCTTGGACAAAGTCCCTCCACATCCCCTTTAGCAACAATAGCTACCCCCAAATACCCGCTTCTTTCTAGGACTGTGTGTATGGGGAATGATCAAGATGTACAGCAAATGTTTAAATTTTTAAAAAATTAATACAATAACAATATTCCCCCTTACTTCAAACATTTTCTTCCATAATTCTCCCCACCTTTTGCACAAGTTCTGGAAATCCTCTTTTGTGAATGTCTTCAGTTGAGCTATCACATCTGCCTTAATGCCCTGATTTGATCCAAAACATTTACCTTTCATGGTCATTTTGACATTGGGGAGAAGCAAGAAGTTACACAGTGCCAGATCTGATGAATAAGGTGGATGAGAAACCACCAGAGTGTTCTTACAAGCCTGCCTTTTTGTGACCTGGCACTCAGCAATGGTATTTACCATCTTTCTGGTCAGCTCATGAAAGAGGACTTGCAGAACTGCTTCACGAAGGGGAAAGAATGTTGGGATAGATGTGTTCAAAGTGAGGGGGAGTATTCTAAGGGGGATTTGTGGGAATGTGTCTCTTACTGTAATAACATTTTTAATTTAACATTCACCATATGTTTTGATCACTAATATTATTTCTCTTACTGAAAAGGAGCCCAGCTTGGCTTTCCAGGCACTAAATGTCCACATTTGGGTGTATTTATCACAGGGTACCCGGAAGAAACCACTCATCTCCCATGCTGAGACCTATAGGAAGCCAGGCTGGGAGCTTGAATAGGCAGCACATGGTCCCATAGTCAGGAGTGGCTCATCTAGTCCCAGTGGCTGCTATAAACATGTACATCAAGGTGTGACAGCCAGAATTAACAGCAGAGTGCACACAGAATCCAGCAATGAATGCTGCTCCCCTGATGCCAACCAAATCACTCCACCGAGCACAGGGCAGCCGGCCTCTCTTCTGGCTCCTCTTCCCCTGCCCCTGCTAACTCAGCCCACCTCAGGACAGCCACCAATACCTGTGACAATGAGGGTAGCAGTGCTGACAGCCTGGCCCAGCGGGTTCTCGGCTACCACCTTGTACTGGCCCCTGTCCTCAGGGGAGACACTGGGGATGACAAGGGAGCACACGCCTAGCATGTCAGTGCTGTAGGCTGCCTTGTGTCCTTCCAGGCTCTGGCCGTTCTTGAACCAGGTGATGTGGGGCCGGGGTGAGCCCTGAACTGCACAGGTCATGTGGCACTCACAGCCCTGGGGCACCAGGTGGGTCCGAAGGCCCACCAGGAACCGCGGCTTCTGGCTCAGATCGGAGTCCCGGTAGCGAGGTGTCTTCACTGTGAACCTGTCTGTGGTGAACACCAGGCCATGGGATGGGTTAGAAAGCAAGGAAGGTCTGGCAGGGCCAGTCCAGATCTTGGTGCTGCAGAGGCACTGCCTTTGTGTCCTGCCATAGCTTACCTGTACATTTTGACTCATTGTTTTTATCTTTTGCCTAAAATTCTTTGGGGATTTTTTTTTTTTTGGTATAATCAAACACACATTCTTTGTGGATCCATTGGGACACATAAGATAATCAAAAGAAGTAAGAATAAAAACCAACCGTCATCTTACTACCTATAAATGACTGCAGCTGACATTTGGGTGCAGCAACATCTAGATAATTTTGTGTGTGAAATCAACTCTGTGATTTTATAATCTGCTTTTACCAGTGACCTCCTTTAAAGTCACACCTATTTGATTGTAAAGTACACTCCATTGTCAGAGAAAAATTTAACTTCTCTTTTCCTTCTTGCCCACCACTGCTTCTGAGAAGCCACCCGAAGGCATCTGAGACACCCAGCCCCAGGCCCCACCTGTCCCCCTGATGGGCGTGGAACCCACCATGAGTTGGGACACAGAGGACATCAGTAAGGTGGTCACTGGGCAGGAAGTGAGAAGAGCAAGCAATGGCTCTGTCTGGACCCAAGTCCTTTGGATAAGCTCTAAGCCATCTCTGCCATAGCTGCTGTTCAGTCCCCAACCCCTACACTCACCACTGGGGGTCATGGCTGCCCACAGAGGGGAGCCAGCTAAGCTCCTCCCTCTCTAGGGGACCCTCACCTCGTTGCCGAAGGAGGCACCAGGGCTGGGTGGTGTCTGATGGTCTGCTGGCACCCAGCTCACTCTTGGCCACCACCCGGAAGTGGTACTCATGGCCAGGGAGGACACCCAGAAGAGTGAAGCGGTTGGTGTGGACACGGTCAGCCACCTCCTGCCAGGAACCATGTGACGAGGAGCGCATCAGCACGGTGTAGTGCAGGGGGATGCCCTGGGCCTCGTCCGGAGAGGGCTCCCACTGGACTGTCACTGTCCCAGGCACATTTTCCTGCAGGCGTATGGGCCCAGGGGCCTGTGGCCATGCTGTGGGAGAGAAGGCAGAGGGAACCTATGCTGCAGGGGACAGAGAAGGCCCCTGCCATGGTCCCCCTCGCCCAGGTCCCTAAGTCTTCTCAGAAGCCAAGGTCCTGGGTATTCCAGTCTTGCCAGGCAGGTAACTGGGGTCAAAGGAATCTCAGTCAGGTGTATAGTTATTTTTAGAGGAGAGAAAACGTCTTACAAAAGAATACTTTTCTGTTTTGGGTTTTTTTGGGAGGGTGTCATACTGGAGGCTGAACCTAGGACCTCTCTACTGAGCTACCTCCCCAGTCCCTTTATATTTTTTTATTTTTGAGACAGGATCTTGCTAAGTCACTAAACTGCCTAGACTGGGCTTGAGCTTGTGATCCTCCTGCCTCAGCTTTCCAGAGTGCTAGGATAACAGGCATGCACCACCATGCCAGGCTCTAAAAGAATATTTTAATTCAATTTAATGCATAATAAGTAAAAAGACACAATACGGGGGGCCGAGGTAGAGGCTTTCAAAAATCAAGTTACAGATCTCCCCTGCTGTTAGCCTCTTTCATCATTTTACTATGCAGACTCCACCAGGGCAGGGGCTCGGTGGGAGTTCCTGGAGGGAAGCACAGCCTTTGTTTCATAAAAGAGACTGGACAAGGCTTTGTTCAAGTGAAGTCTGGGAGGAATGTGTCCCGGAGTTCTGGAGAAGGAAGAATAATGAAAGCCTCTGGGGCACTCTCTAGGCCCTCTCTCTTTCTCTCTCTCTCTTTCTCTCTCTCTCTCTCTCTCTCTCTCTCTCTCTCTCTCTCTCTCTCCCTGCCTAGCCTTTCTTTTCTTTCATTTCCCTTTTCTTTCTTCCCTCTT